AGGCTAGCACTGGGAAACTGTTTTGGAATGCCTGAAAAAGAAGACCTGACATAAACACACAATAGATACCAGCAGTGAGCTCTAACTGGACCCTTGACTCACTTCCTCACTCCTTTCTCACTTTGTCGCTGTGCTTTCAGGATTTAGAAATAAGTACTTTTAGATCTATCGTGGCTTAATGAAAGGTTTTCTTCACAGTCACATTTTACAAAATAAAAAGGAAGCTTGATCTCCCTGCCACACATGTTCACTCCACTAATGGATTCTCTTTCTGATACCATATTATTTGCAAGCCATTAAGTCTCTAGAGACTTTGCAGACACTCAGAATATATCTATAAGGAGAGTCACAGGGACTGCAAAATCTTCAATTTGCAATTTCACTATCTTCATTTGAATTTCCTATTAGGCTTAATGATGAGGGGAAATCTAGAACAACAAGCTCATCATCTCTGATGGGGACACAACCGACAGACCTGTAGCCTGCAAAGCACCACGGCCGCCAAGTACAGTTGTTCAGTTGTGCACTGCACAAAGGTGCTGTTCAAAGGGAGTGCTACTCACATCATAGACATCTTCGCTGTTTTGAAATATGTTCTTCTTTGTTGTCTCCAAAGGTGGGCGGTCTGTATGTTTTTTGTAATAATTTTTAAACAGATAGCAATAAGAAATCTTGCTTTAACAAAATTACTATATTATGATAGATGAGTGTAAAGTGTCCTTCTGATGGGTAGGTTCATATTGTCATTCAACTTACAAATGATTAGCAGCATAGTACATTAACATCATATTATTTTTATTGTGCTTTAGTTTACTTGTGCTTCCAAACAAGGAGGAGTTGACTGATAATCATGATTGGTGAGCATATTTAAAAAATGTCCATCTCCTTTGTATTAGAACACTGCTAAATTTACTCTCTATCTTACAATTTATGTCACCTGATACTTGTTACTTGCCCTAGATGGTATTATTAAGCTTTCAGCTTACGTCTATAGTACTTTCTATACTATACTATACTGTATATCATAAGATGAATCATTGAAAAATAATTGATAATTTTCCGTTAATAATCCATTAAGTGTTACAAGGATAATTTTTAGAGATTATATTAGTGTTTTAAAATGTGATGTTTCAAGGTAACTTTATTCAAAGGCACCTTTTTCTAATCTGGACAAAGCCATTTTACACACTATCAGTGGCTCTCGTAACCACCAAGAGTCTTAAACCAGCTGTCTTGATGGCATGTATGTGAGGATGTCTTGTTTTTTACCCCCATCCCGTCCCCTTCCCTCCAGCTCCATGAAGGCAGGATTGGGAGCAGGGGTCCAACCGCATGTAGTCTATAAACTCTCCAAAAGTGGTCACAAAAGTCTGGGCACGTCATGTGCTTTTACCTTTGTTTTAAGGCAACTGTCCATGAGGTTCATTGCATCTGTGCCTCTGAAAAGAGCAAAAATCATTGTTTTAGTTTGCAGCAGTGTTTCTCAAACTTTATCAAGTATTAGAATCATCTGGAGGACTTGTTAATACACAGATCCTGAACCTGCCCTCAGGATTTCTAATTCAGTAGGCCTGGAGCAGAGCTTAAGAATCTGCATTTCTAATGAGTTGCCAGGGGATGCTGTTGCTGCTGGCCCAGGGAAGATACTTGGAGAATGACCGCTTTAGAATGTCAGCGGTGGCTGGGCACAGTGGTTCATGCCTGTAATCCCAGCACTTTGGGAAGTCAAGACAAGTGCATCTCTTGAGGTCAGGGGTTCAAGACCAGCCTGGCCAACGTGGTGAAACCCTTGTCTCTAATAAAAATATAAAAATTAGCTAAGTGTGATGACGCGTGCTTCCAATCAAAGTCACTTGGGAGGCTGAAGTAGGAGGACCGCTTGAACCCGGCAGGAGAAGGTTGCTGTTGGCCAAGATCGCGCTACTGCACTCTGGCCTGCGTGATAGAGCGAGACCCTGTCTCAAAAAAAAAAAAAAAAAAAAAAAAAAGTGTCAGTTATGGCTACGATCAGTGCAGGCCCACATGAGGCAGAACCCTGGGGATACACTACGTTTCTAACCTCTTTACCAGCAGAGGGCAAGTCCACGTTTATTCCAACCTGTGTCAACAGTCTCTTCCAGCACAAGGTGGCAGCACCGGCATACAAATCTCTATATAAAACAGGGAGCCCTTAAATTTTAAATTCAATCACAAAAGCATGGGAAAGCCACATGAACTGCATTTATTCTATAAATTGGATGGTAACCTAAACCTGAAAAATGATAAAAAGTTTCTCTGCTAAGAACACATATCCATGCAAATCAGGTTTCAAGTATGAGTAAAACTAGACTGCATGGCAGACAGGAAGAGGAGCTGGATGATGTGCGGCCTCTCTCCTCTAGCCTGGCACCCCGGATGGGATTTCATACTTCTCTGTCTGGTGATTCAGAAATGTTCTTCTGTGGAAAGTCCTAAGCTGGATGCAGCAAAATTACCCGAGGTGCTTATTAAAAATGCAGATTCCCTCTCCTTTCATAGCCCATTCTGATTAAGTAGATATAGGATTAGGTACAGGCAGTCATCTTCTTCTCCTTTTTTTTTTTTTTCTTTGAGACAGAGTCTTGCTCTGTCACTCAGGCCAGAGTGCAGTGGCATGATCTCAGCTCACTGCAACCTCCACCTCTCAAGTTCAAGCGATTCTCCTGCTTCAGCCTCCTGAGTAGCTGGGATTACAGGCTTGCGCCACCCCTCCCAGCTAATGTTTTTGTATTTTTAGTAGAGACGGGGTTTCACCATGTTGGCGAGGCTGGTCTCGAACTCCTGATCTCAAGTGATCTGCCCAACTTGGTATTCCAAAGTGCTGAGATTACAGGCGTGAGCCGCTGCACCAGCCACAGTTATCTTCTTAACAGGTGTCCCAGTTGATTCTAAGGCACAACCCTGTTTTGACTATCTGCATCTGTATGTTTAATAAACATAAAACCAGTGCTTAGCTATGAATATTTGGCTGTCTCTGCCTTTTACATAGTGGTTCTTTCTAGGTTCTGAACTCGCAAAGCAGTTAAAATGCAGAAAGAGCTACACTTTCCCATATGGTAGCTGCCAGCCACACGTGGCTAGTGGACACTTGAAATATCACTGTTCTGCACTGAGATGTGCTCTCAGTGTTAAATAACACCAGATTTCGCAGACTCCGTAGGGGAAAAATAATGTAAAATATTTTCTTCCTAGCTTTTTATACTAATTACATGTTGAAATGATTTTTTAAATGTATTAGGTTAAATAAAAGATTTCTTAAAATTAATTTCACCTGCTTCTTTTCATGTTTTTAGTGTGACTACTAAAAATATTAAATTACATATGTGGCTCACAATATATTTCTATTAGACAGCATTGGTTAGAGGATGTAAACAGCTTTGGCAAGAATGGAGGGGAAAGTGGAAATCAGAGAAGCAGAGCCTAACAGGGCTCAAGGGAAGAAGTCTTGACCACATGGAATTTTAACCGCATTCCTCCACCCAGGCCTCACATCCTGGCAGCCAGGCCTGGAAGACAAAAGTCCTTCAGCCTGCAGCCACTGCAGTGCTTCAATAACAGTTTATCCACGGGACAGTTCCAACTTGAGCACCCCACTCTCCAAATAGGTTGAGTTCTGAGACAGACTGGATGTTAGTCACTTGCCGGCACTCAGAGGACATTTCACATAGGAAAAAAACGTGGTTCCTGCAGATGGTTGCTGGTATGTGGAGTGCCCCCCCCCTCCCCCGGGGCTTATTGAATCTGTGCAGTAGGTGAAATCTCTACTTTTACACAAAGGAAAGCTTGATGGCTTATCGTTAAACAAAACCGTACTTGTTTGTTTGTTGTTTATTTACATATAAGACGAAGGAAGAGTATGTTAAAATAGCTTCTCTGCAATACTAGTACTGTTTTCCAAGAAAGGCAGGTTTATACTTAGCGGTGGTCCTCAGTGGAGTCCCCAGACCTGCAACATCTGGGAACAGCTAAGAAATTCGAATTCTCAGGCTCCAGTACAGACTGAAGAGATCAGAAACTCTATCTACGGGTGGAATCCAGCAATCCACCTGGAGACCAGCCCTCCAGGTGATTGTGAGAATGCATCCTAAGACAGAGAACCACAGAGCCAGAGAAGAAGAGGCCCTGTGAAGGGAGACCTGAGGGTATGGAGAGTTGTTGGCTCCAGTTTGGGCACACTCTCTCTCTCTTTCCATTTCTCTCTTCTCTCTTCCCCCTCCCCCTCCCCTCCTCCCTCTTCCCCTTCCCCTCCTCCTCCTCCTGCTCCTTCTTCTCTTCTTCCTCTTCCTTCTCTTCTCCTCCTCCTCCTCCTCCTCCTCCTCCTCCTCCTTCTCCTTCTCCTTCTCCTTCTCCTTCTCCTTCTTCTTCTCCCTCCCTCCTGTCTCTCCCGTCTGCTGTCATTGGGAAGCTGTGTGGTCAGCCAGTCAAAAAGAGCAGATTTTGGAGTCAGGAGTTCCAGGGTTCACTGTTGAGCTCCATTCCCTACTGGGTGACTGAGGGCAGTTTCTAAACTTCTCTGATCCTGTTCTGCCATCTGAAGAAGGGGAAAATAATACATAGTGTTACGATTGTTATTGGGAATCATGAGCTAATGTATGGAAAAGGCTGCATGTGGTTCTCCATGCAAAGAAGCAGATTATTGTCAGTTACATGTAGGTGAGGCATCCAAAACGCCAGGAGAAAAAACCTGAGCCCTTGCATGTGTCCATCGTTACCTTATCTACACCCGTAGCATGCTCGCTTTTTTTTTATAGAAATTACCTATTTTCCGTGATTAGTCAGTGGATCCACAACAATTTTATCTAATCTCATTCTTGCTTAGGGACTCATTAAAGTGTTGTCAATCTTACGGAATTATTTAAAACCCGTGAACTCCCCCAAATAATGCCTGAGGGTTCCAACCTTCCCTGTCCCTTCACAAATCAGCTTCAGAAGCTGATTTGATCAAGTGAAACCAGTGTGCCTCGTACTTCATTCTCCCGGGTTTGCCGCTTTTCTAAGTATGGTCTCACAAAATGTATACTGCTTTTTTTTTCTTTTAGTCTTCATGTTGTATATTAGATCCCTAGACTTATTTGTTCTACACATCCGCTGCTCTGTTTTCTGACCTACATCTGCATACTGCTTTAATAGAATGGATGTTTGCAGACATGACTGTGATATTGGAATATGGAAGGATCCGTCCAGGGTCAAGAAGCAGCAGGCTGGCTTCATTCTCAGTGTTTGTTTCCCGGGTCTTTGAAGGAGAGGTGCTGCAGGGAAAAAGGTCGTGCAGCAGGAAGTGTCATTTAAAAAGGACCTGAGTTGGCCTGAGTTATCATCAAATACACGCCATGGCTGTGCTCCCCACACGCCACCGTACACTAACAGGGCAGCAACGCTGATTGTCTAACAAGCGGCAGAGCCGCCCAGCAGCGACCACATTAGGAAGAAATCGGAAACCAAGACTCCGCTGGCTGTCACCCCTTACCCACTTGCTGTCAGGTAGAGTACTTGTTTATTATTAACTGTCTACTTTCAGTATCCTGCACCTGGGGGTGAACATCATCGGTGCTAAGACTTTTTAGCCTATGGGGATCTCTGCTGAGCACTAAAACCATGGGCTTCCCCTTTAGAAGAGGCAGAAAATACACTTCCCAGGTTCTCACTACCAGCTCTGACATGCTGAACTGCAGTTGGAGAAGGAGGGTGAGGACTGGGCTCCCTTCCTGTCTCCTAAGCCAGGGCAGGGCTGGGCTTCTGGTAATGGCAGGAGAGAGAGAAGCAGGTAACTTCCCTGGAGGTGGGGGCTGAGCGGGGCAAGTTCCCTCTTCCAGGGACATTCCAGACATGACAGAGGTGCACAGGCACAGAAGCCCTGCTGCTTCGGCAAGCTGGGCTGCTCAGAGCTGTGTCTACCCCTTCTCGGGACTTGGACCGTGGGGAGTGTCTATATAGAACCATCTAGAAGAGTTCAGAGCCTTTCAAATTTCTTTTCAAATGCATTCCTGACTGAGGACACAGCTCGAAGCTACCTCTCAGGCTTAGAAACACTTCTTAATTTTCACTGTCTAGGGCTAGCTTTGAGTCAGATCCTTTCACCTCATCAAAAACGTGTCAGCACACAAGCTCTCCGAAATTACTCGCTTGGCTTTCTGCTCAGGGTGACTGTGGTAAAGAGGTTACAGCCCACAGGCAAACCTCAGTAATTGGCCTTGGCCTGGAGCCACACCTTGGAAGCCATCTCCCAGCGGGAATGAAAGGAGTGTGGGGACAGGGCATCAATGTCTGCCCAAGGCAAAATAGGGCGAACAGTAGCCTGCCTGTGGCACCCTCCCCACCTCTCTTCTAGAGCAGTAACCCTTCATTTTCTCAGCCTCTGCACGGGAAGGCTCATTTAGGCTCCTTAGTTCACCCACACCTTGCTATGACAAACAAAAAATGATCACCATTACAATATATGGAGTCCTTGCTATGTGAGAAGCACTGTATCAGGTGTTTTCCATGTATCATCGTGATCTTCACAACAGCTCCTCAAGGAACACATCATAATGGCCCCTTTGGTGGGAACTACAGGGACCCAATGAGGCTAAGCTACCCTTTAAGGTACAATTGGCCAGATCTGGATTTGAACCCAAGCCAGTCTGACTCAACAGCGACCGCGGTTTCCCCGACACTATACCATCTACCATTCCCAGACTTCTCAGGCTTAGGCTATGTCTGGTTTCTGCGACATCATAAAATAAACATTATTAATTCATGAAGAAGCAAAGGACATGAGCCATGGGAGTCATTGGGTAAATGAATATTGAATGACTGAATGGACCGGAGCTTCTATCAGTTCCCTCTCATCCAAAGACTCAGCACCTCCAAGGCTCAGATCCCCAGGGTGCTGCTACCTCAGAGATCTCTCCGGGCTCTGCTCACAGGCATTCACCCACTGCCTGACCTTGCAGGCTCCTGGAGTTAAGCCATGAGTGGTTTCCTGTCTCTTGACAACATCTACCCAGAACTCAGACTTTGGTTTTCCTTTGTCCCTAGACCACAGCCTGAGGCAGCCAAACCCATTTCCTTGGGGATCCAGCCCAAACCAGAGAGCGTGGATAGGCCAATGGAAGAATGTTGGACCAGCTTAAAGAATGGGCTGTTCTAAGTCACGAATACTGTAGGAAGCGGCTCTAAGGACCACAGGGCTGGGGGTGCACAGGAAGGGGCCGGTGCATACAGGAGAATGTTGGTTTTATTTTCAAATTTGTGCCTCAAGGCTTTACCTACTTTTTTCCGTCTGAAATTAGGAAAATGGAAATAAGACACCCCTAGGAGTGCACCATAGCATGGCCTAGCATTTTTTCAAATGATCTTTATATTCAAGGATGATTTGGAGGAAATGGAGATGCTGATTATTTTGTTAAACAAATGCTGCCTGTTTAGAAACCACACACAGACAGCTCATGAAGTGGGAGAATGACTAATTGCTGTGGCTAAAATCAGCTCCCTTCAGCACTGGACTCACAGGGGTCTTTCTCACAAGGCCCAATTATGCAAATTGCTAAAGCAGGCCCCCCCCCCCCGCCCGCCCCCCTGGCATGGCAGGAAGAGAAGCTGTTTCTATTCCTTAAAACTGTTTTATCTGGCCTGAGTAAGGCACAGAGGCGACTTTCCCCTGGGGCGTGCCTGTGCTCGTGACTGTGGGCAGCAGACAGACCGAGCTGTTTCTCCTCTGCCTGTCTACACCTGTTCTCCACTTGCTCACACCCGGCTCTCTCCTCCTCTAGCAGTGGCTACTGCTTCCCAGTCTCCGCAGCTGCCCCTTCCCAGTGTCTTCACACTGCAGGGCCAGCATGCAGTCCTCCACTCTCTTCTTTCTCTTCCTCCCTTGGTGACTTCACTCAGTCTCTTGGCTTTCAATAGTGCCTGCCTCTGAGGACCCCTGCTCAGCCTCTCTTCTGCACCCCTGCCCACATTTCCAAGTCCCGAGGCATCTTCTTCATCTTCATGTCCAACAGCCTCCTAACTTCCTAGGTCTAATGTGAAGGGCTGGGTCTTCCCCCAAACGATTCCACAGGAACCTTTCTGTCTCAGTATTCTGTCTCAGATGCAGGGAACAGCATCCCCATCCTCCCAGGTGCTCCAGCCAAACACCATGGAGTAGTCTTTGACCTTGGTACCCCTCCTCTGATGCCAACCTATCATCTATTGGGACATATGTTGGCTTCAAAATCTATCCAGAACCAAACTCTTTCTCAGTCCCTCCATTACCATTGCTCTCCTCATTTCACTCAAAGTAAAAGCCAAAGTCTCCACAATGGTCTAGAAGGCACTACCAGGCACTTTCCCTCTGACCTCACCTCCTACTCTTCTCCTCCTTCTAACTGCTCCAGCCACACTGGCCACCTGGCTGTTCCCCAGACACACCAGGCACCTCCCTTCACCTTAGGACCTTGGCGCCGGCTATTCCCACCTCCTCAGGACTTTGGTCAAATATCACCTGCCCAGTGAGCCCTGCCTGGTCACCTCCAGGAACCAGACCCTAGAGTGAGCAAGCCCTAGATCCCCAAGCTTGTACTCTCAATTTCTTGCCTTCTATATGAACTCATAACTCTATATAGAAGGTTATCACCTTCTTTTTTTTTTTTTTTTTTTTTTTTGAGACGGAGTCTCGCTCTGTCGCCCCGGCTGGAGTGCAGTGGCGCAATCTCGGCTCACTGCAAGCTCCGCCTCCCGGGTTCACGCCATTCTCCTGCCTCAGCCTCCCGAGTAGCTGGGACTACAGGCGCCCGCCACTGCGCGAGACCATGGTGAAACCCCGTCTCTACTAAAAAATAGAAAAGGTTATCACCTTCTAACGTACTTGGCAATTTACTTATTTATAATAGTTATTATTTATTGCCTGTCTCATCCACAAGAATGTAAACTCCATGAGAGAAAGGATATTTTTTTTCCATTTTGTTCACTATGTATCCCAAAGGACTAGAACAGTTTCTAGGCACACAGTAGGCACTTGATAAATATTTACTGATGAATGAATGAATACTACACAAACACCTTGCTGTTTCATCTGACTGACACCTGGACCTTGAGTAAGGCACAGATGTGGCTTTCACTCAGGGTGTGCCTGTCCCTGTGGAATCTTAATAAGGGAAACACCATCCCAGGATTCCTGCTGGTGGAGGCCACTAGAATCCCACCGACCTTTTTTTTTTTTTTTAATGTAATTTAATTTTTATTTTCATGAATACAAAACAGTTGTACAGATTTCCGAGGTACATGTGATACTTTCATACAAGCATGCAATGTATAATGATCAGATCATGGTGGCTGAGGTATCCAGCACCTCAAGCATTTCTCATTTGCTTGTCTTAGGAGTATTCCAATGCCACTCTTCTCATTACTTTGAAATATACAATAAATTATCGTTAACTATAGTTATCCTATTGTGCCACCAAACACCAGGTCTTATTCCTTCCATCCAGCTATATTTTTGTACCCATTAACTAATCTCTCCTTATCTCCCCTCCCCACTACCATTCCCAGCCCCTGATAACCATCATTCTACTCTCTACCTCCATGAGATCAAGATTTTTAGCTCCCACAGTATGAGGGACAATGTGGTATCTGTCTAACTGTGCCTGGCTTATTTCACTTAACAGTGTCCTCCAATTCCATTTATATTGCCGCAGATGACAGGATTTCATTTTTTATGGCTGAATAATATTCCATTGTGTATATCTGCCCCGTTTTCTTTGCCTATTCATCCATTGATGAACATGTAGGTTGATTCCATATCTTGGCTATTGTGAATAGTGCTGCAATAAACATGGGAATGCAAATATCTCTTTGATATACTTACTTCCCTTCTCTTGAATATATACCCAGCAATGGGATTCCTGGATCTTATAGTACTCTGTTTTTAGTTTTTTGAGAAATCTCCATACTGTTCTCCATAGTGCTTGTACTAATTTCCATTCCCACCAACAGTGGACAAGGGTTCCCTTTCTCTTCATCCTCACCAGCATCTGTTATTTTCTGTCTTTTTGATAACAGCTATTTTAATTGGTGTAAGATGATATCTCATTGTGGTTTTGATTTGCATTTCCCTGATTAGTGATGTTAAGGAGTTTTCCACATACCTGTTGGCCATTTGCATGTCTTCCTTTGACATATGTCTATTCAGATCTTTTGCCTATTTGTAAATTGGATTTTTGTTGTTGTTGTTATTGAGTTGTTTGAGCTCCTTAGATATTTTAGTTATTAATCCCTTGTCAAATGAATAGTTTGCAAATATTTTCTTATGTCCTGAATGTTATCTCTTGACTTCATTAATTGTTTCCCTTGCTTTGTAGAAGCTTTTTAGCTTGCTGTAATCTATTTGTCCATTTCTTGCTTTAGTCGCCTGTGCATTTGAGTCTTATTCAAGAAATCTGTGCCCAGACCAATGCCCTGGAGAGTTTTCCCAATGTTTTCTTCTAGTAGTTTCATAGTTTCAGGTCCTCAATTTAAGTCTTTAATCCACTTTGATTTGATGTGTGTATATGGTGAGAGATAGGGGTCTAGTTTCATTCTTCTGCATGTAGATATCAGTTTTTCCAGCACCATTTATTTAAGAGACTGTCCTGCACCAATATATGTTCTTGGTTCCTTTGCTGCTGACCCTTTTTTCAAACACAACCAAAGCCATCTTGTCCATGTGTCCATGAGTTCTATTGTTGTAGAAACAGCCCCATATATCTGAAATGAAGCTGAAAAAAGGTATAAGAAATTCATTTCTGCCAGCTTGAATATCCAGCTCATCACACTCAGCCAACTCGCCTAACCTAGCTTGCCAAGAGCCACACGCCCACTTTGGGGACAAGAGACCCTACCAGAACCCTGGAGATGGGCATATTTGGTCGCTGATTCTCCTTGGCCCTCATGGCTATGGACTGACCTCAATTCTCTCCAATTTCACTGCCTTGCAAATGTTTTGTTGTTGTTGCATCTACTTCCCACACTGGTGTGCATACAGTATTCAAACAGATGGCTTGAAACTTTTTTTGAGACAGAGTCTCATTCTGTCGCCCAGACTGAAGTGCAGTGGTGTGATCACAGCTCACTGCAGGATTGACCTTCCCCAGCTCAGGTATCCTCCCATCTCAGCTCCCCAAGGACTTGGGACTACAGGTATGCCACCACACCTAGTAAATTGTTTTTGTTTTTGTTTTTGATAGAAACAGGGTCTTGCCGTGTTTCCCCAGCTGGTCTTGAACTCCAGAGCTCAAGCCATCCACCTGCCTTGACCTCCCAAAGTACTGAGATGACAGGCATGAGCCACTGCTCCTGGCCCATCACAAATCTCTTAATCTCTCTGTGCCTCAGTTTCTTCATCTGTAAAATCAAGATTGTGATAATAGTACCCAGCTCACAGGCTTGTGGTGAAGATTGATTGAGTTGATAGTACAAAGTGCTTAAAACAGTGGAGGGCATACAGTAAGCACTCAGTAAGTGTTAACTATTATTAGTAGTATTGTTATTATCATTACTATTAACATTAATTAATATTAATGTTAAACACAGTATCTGATTTGGATTTTTATTCCCAGCACCTAGTACAGTACCTGGGATAGAAAGTGCTCAGGAAAAGTTTGCTGGATGGATGAATAAATAAATAAATAAATAAATAAATAAATAAATAAATGAGGATGAGCGATTTCAATGCAGGGGCTGTATGTCTTCGTCTCTGTTTAGTACAAACCTAGTCCCTAATAATTCTTTAAAAATGCATGCTGAATTTTGAATCAATGGCACATGGGAAAGTTTCTGCATTTATCTTGTACAGTACAGAAAGCCTTGGAGGAACATAAAAAAAACAAAATCAGTGATAGCACTGAAGGAGTGGGGGTGGTGCCTAAGAAACTCTGGGAGATAGAGAGACCAAGTTGTGACTTTGGGAACAATTTTTAACTTTTCTAGGTTTCTGTGTTCTCCTCTATCAAATGGGGCTAAGATGAGTCTCTGGATCCTAAGAGGGCTAAACCAGATAATGCTTGCAAAGTGCACAGTTCTAGGCCTGGTACCTGCTAACCGCTCGTTCAGTAAGTGTCGGCTTTAAAACCATGTGTCAAGTACGGCTGACACATGCCCCTCTGCCCATCAGGCTGCAGGGCTTGACCAGAAGGTGAGGGGCCCTGATTTATGGGAAAGTAGCCAACTACCCAGGGGCTCATCTTTCTACCCCATCTTTCTAAATATCTTAACCGGAGGCTTCTCTTTCTTGTGCCCTCTTACCCATGATCCAGGGACAATCTAAGTAAGTTCCTGCTACTATAACCAGAACTTCTCTAATTGTCATGTGCAAGGTATTTCTCCAAAACCTTTCAAAGAAGTTCAGACAAGCCGTACCCCTTCAGCAGACTTTAAAATGAAACTGGGCATTTTCCACTGGTTTCCTCGCCCCCAACTTCCTCCCTTGGACCCTCTCCAAGTCTACGCAGCTGATGGCGTCTTGGAAAGGAGACTCGGAGCGTGATGAATCGAGCATTCAGTCACAGATTATATTCATCTTTATGCTTGCTCGATATAAACCAAACTTTTGCCTTAGTTGGTTTAAATCCAGAAAATACCCAGCAGTTTACAACTTATCTCTGACCATTCTATGAGGTCTGTATGATTAATCTTTTTTGATGTCTTTTTTTTTTGAGACAGAATATTGCTCTGTCACCCAGACTGGAGTCCAGTGGTGTGATCTCAGCTCACTGCAACCTGTGCCCCCTCAGGTCCAAGCGACTCTCATGCCTCAGTCTCCCGAGCAGCTGGGATTACAGGCACCACCACCACGTCTGGCTAATTTTTGTATTTTTTAGTAGAGACAGGGTTTCACCATCTTGGCCAGCCTGGTCTCAAACTCCTGGCCTCAAGTGATCTGCCCACCTCAGCCTCCCAAAGTGCTGGGACTACAGGTATGAGCCACCACATCTGGCCTAAAATGTCATATATTTTGAACTGATTGACTTCTCCAAAAACTTATGGTTATTAGTTGAGAGAGAAAACTTGAGAGAAAGTTTCCCTGCACTTGGATGAGAGGAAATTAGAACAGCCTGCATCTCTGGTGCTGGGGAGTATCAAACAAGGGGAATTGGGAGAAGGATGGGGGCAATGGCATAGCTCTTTGCCTTTCAAAATTAAAAATGGGATGCTGCTTTATATTACAGATCTAAGGAATTAGAAGAGCAGCAAACCAAGCAACTAAGTTTGTTCTCCTTGCTTAAACTTTAAAAAGCCAGCTTAAAAGTTCTCAAACTTAAAATTTGAAAAATGAAAACAAATGCATGACATGTCGGGGGGATAATTCCTACATTTTTGGAAATGTTCTCATGTTTTCTCCATTTCATCCTATGAATGAAAATGCCATCAAAGGGGAATAATCCTATTCGTAGAGTGCTCATCACCACAGTAACCATTGGGCATCTCTACCCTTTACTATCTTCATTTTTATTGTAATAAATGAGTTACAAATCTATATCTGGGGCCCTAGTTATGTATTTGCCATATGTTCACACCACACACACACGCACACACGCACACATGCACATATGTGGTGACTAAGACTAAGAGTGAGCCTAGAAGAATGACTTGGAGTGGGAGCTGTTGGAGGGAATGGTAGGAAAATAACAGGGATTCACTCAGTCTCATTTTCTACTAAATTTCAATAAAGAGAAACATGCTCAGCAAATGTTTGTTGACTATATGAATAAATGAAATGGTGCATTTAACCAGAATTGCATATTTAAATATGGTGGTAGTGTGTACAATATTAGAGGAAGGAAATGCAGGCAACAAGGAGAAGGCTTCTGCGATGATCTATGACACTGTGATATTGCCATTCTGTGCAAAGTTGCTCACATTTTGACATTCGTGCTCATTTTTAATTCCCAAAAACAAGCAACTGACCTTTCAACTTCCTTTTATTACCGTAAAATGTATGCAATAGATACCCTCACCCCATTCCTCACTCACCCCCCAATTAGCTTTACCTGGTGCCTAATCCACAGTTCATCCCGGACTCACCCTATCCCTCCTTAGACTTCTCTGTATCCTTTACCCGATCCTTCCAGGTGTCCAAACAGTGTCATCCGGTGTCCTGACATGGGGCCCCAGTGGACTGACCCACGGTGGAAAAGAAGAGTGAGAAGAAATCAGAAGGAAGAATTCAGGAGTTGTGGCAACAGAGTGGATGTAGCAGAAGGGACACAGAGAGTGCCTACAGATGACTCTTTGGTCAGCATGTGATGAAAAGAACGAAGACATTGGGGAAGTGGGGAGCAGAAGCGGATGTGGGCCCAGGAGGAAAAGGGTAGGTTTGGACTGGGGCATGCTGAGGTCAGCAGCAACATCAAAGTCCTGAGCACCCTCATGTTGTTGCAGATTCCAGACAGCAGAGAGAGATGGCAAAAGATGCATGGAAGAGAGACACAGCAGGGTCGGGTTCTGGCCTCAGGAGCCAAGGGGGAAGTGCCTGAGAAGGAGATCCCCAAATGAGGTCTGTGTCAATGAGGTCATTAGGGGACTGGCTTCCATGTATGCCAGGCCATACTTCCTGGATTCCCAGCATTGAGAAGACCAAACGCTTCTACACATTTATTATTGAAGCCCCCTGCAAGGTGAAGGCAGAGGAAGTGGCCAATCTCCTAAGCTGTGTGTGACTGAGGCAGTTGTCAGAACTGTGACGAGGGAAATGCTCATTATTGTATCCCTCACTTGGCCAAATAAAGAACTTCTTAGAATTCTTCCCCTATGACAAAACGGGGCTGTGATTCGGAAAGCCGCAGGCAAATTTGCTAGGGCCATGGTAACCCAGCACCACAGACTGGGTGGCTTCAAGACTGGATGGCTTCAACAGAAAGTTACTGTTGCTAAATTCTAGAAGCCAGAAGTCCAAAATCAAGGTACTTGCAGGGTTAGTTCGATCTGAGGGCTGCGAGGGAAGGCTCTGTTCTAGACCTCTCTCCTAGGCTTGCAGGCATTGGTCCTGATGTTCACAGCACATCCTTCCTGTGCCTTCACATCGTCTTCTCTCTGAATGTATCTCTGGGTCCAAATTTCCCTATTTTAAAATAAGGAAATCAGTCCTATTGGGTTAGCGCCCCCCTCCCCTTCACTTTAACTTGATTACCTCTGCAAAGACCCTACCTCCAAATAAGATCACATTCTGGGTACTGAGGGCTAGGACCTCAATATCTGAATTTAGGGTGGGTGGGTGCACAATTCATTCCATAACATTAAGAAGGAAGGAATGAATGCCCACGGAATCACACGCTCACTTGGGGAGAGTTCAAAGTGTGCAGAGCGGGTGGTCATAGCCTTGCCTCAGGCCTTCGGAAATCCCCTGAATCTGGTTTTCCCAGTTCTCATAATCTAATTTCACCAAAATACGGCATCTCAATACATTCCATGCATTTCTGGTGTCAAACTCATTCTGGTGAATGCTAAGCAATGTCCTAACTACGTCTTAACTGGGGTGGTTTAACTGGTTTGGTTAACATAGATCTCTGAGGCATTTCACCCATTCCTTAAGCCTAAACAAATCTCATCCAGGTGTTTAAGATATTGCACAATATTAGACCATTTGAAGCTCCATATCCTTGGGGCAATCTAGGTTGGTGATGAAAGTGGCTGGTAACTGTTCTCAGTCTCATCGCCATAACGGAACCCTCTGTTGTGTTCCTCCGCACTGGTGTGAGGGACACTACTAAGTGAGGCAGAGTTTGCACTCAGGACAGATAAATATGGACTCATGCACAGATTCCAGCTGAGTCCCTCCAGTGTGCTAGGTACTATGTCCAGCCTCCCAGGATTCACCTGTAAGCTGGAGTCTTTTGGATGAGAGAGGGAATTCTCATATATCCACAGGCAGATGGAATTTACAAGTGGAAAGACCTAGAAGTTTAGAGACAGGGGGACTGAACTTTTTGCTTTCAGTCAGAATCTTTGCTTACGGTTGTGCAAATGTTTGCACTGGTGGGTTTCCATGCCATAATGTGCTAAATATTTTTACATTACCCTTGCACATAAGCATACAGTTGGGAGGGAAAATGAAGAGGGTAGAGTTGGTAACAAACTCAAGCTAAAGAAATGGGATTTGGATGGGTACTAAGTCCAAAGAATTAACTTGAGGAAAATGAACCAGGATTCACACAGGAGTTTTGAAACATCTCAATATCAGGACCCCTTTACCCTCTTAAAACTTACTTCGTGAGGACCTTAAAGAGCTTTTGTATGTGTGATTTATGTGTATTAATATTTACTATATTAGAAATTAAAAGTAAGAAATGGCTGTAATATGTGTTCATTCATTTAAAATAACTATAACAAATGATTTTTTAACATTAATAATGTTTTTCATGAAAAGTAACTATATTTCCCCCAAACCCCACAAAATGTAATGATAAGATTGGCATTGTGTTATATTTTTAGAAATTTATTTAATGTCTGGTCTCAGAGAACATGGCTAAAATCTCATATCTACTTCTGTTACTTATGTTGTTTTGACTGAAGTATAAAAAGAAAATCCAGTCTTACACAGTAAAGTCAAGTCTTAGACAGATATATAGTTGGAAAAGGCAGGATTTGCGATCTCACAAAAAGAACCTAGGGACCCCCAGTGGTCCCCTGGCCACATTTTGAGAATTGTTGCACTAACAGTGGTTTTATAATCTTGTTATATCCTGATTGGATTTCTCTTTCTAACTACACCATTAAATGGAAACCCACATTTCAGAATTTTAATCCATAATATGAAATTTTAGATACGGATTAGTGTCATATACATACATGCAAAGTCTTAACTCTTTCTACCTCCACGTTTAAGAAGTCGGTTTTATTATAACAGTGATTATCTTTTTTTTTCTTTTTTTTTTGAGACACAGACTTGCTCTGTAGTCCAGGTTAAAGTGCAGTGCCATGACCTTGGCTCACTGCAACCTCTGCCTCCCAAGTTCAAGCGATTCTTGTGCGTCAGCCATCCGAGTAGCTGGGACTACAGGCACGCACCACCACACCTGGCTAATATTTGTATTTTGAGTAGAGACAGGGTTTTGCCATGTTGGCCAGGTTGGTCTTGAACTCCTGGCCTCAAGTGATCTGCCTGCCTCAGCCTCCCAAAGTGCTGGGATTGTGAGCATAAGTCACTGCACGAGGCCTAAAAGTCACTATCTTTTAGTTTGTTTGCAGTGAAAATAATAGTTTAAAAAATAAATTAGAAACAAACACTATTGCCCAGTATCTATATTTAATCACAGAAATATTTCTTAATGCTTCCAACTCTGAAGTCCCAGACATTCTTAACTATGTACTGTAGTTATAAATAATATGAAGGCTGGAGCACAGTGGCTCATGCGAGTAATCCCAGCACTTTAGGAGGCCATGACAAGCAGACTGCTTGAGCCCAGGAGTTCAAGACCAGCCTGGGCAACATAGTGAGACCCCTCCCCCGCCTCATCTCTACAGTAAATAAATTAGTCAAGTGTGGTGGCATGTGTCTGTAGTCCCAGCTACTCAGGAGGCTGAGGTGGGAGGATCTCTTGAGCCCAGGAGGTCAAGGCTGAAGTGAGTTGTAATTGCACCACTGCATTCCAGCTTGGTTGACACAGCGACAGCCTTTTTCAAAAAGAAAAAAAAAAAGAAAGAAAATATGTATCCCTGCACCATAGGAAATAGGAAGTATTGTGTGACTTTTTCTTGGTCTTTCGAGGAACTATGTCATGTGAATCATGATGACTGCTGAAAATGCATAGGAAGATAAAGAAAAGTGACTTGTTGCTCAACTGTTTCAAGCCCACTTCTGAGTACCAAACTGTGGCTCCCTAAACTAACCCAGAGGGCTTGACTCTGACAAAGCTCTGGCTGTAGCCATAAGACTGACCCTCAAAAATCTTACCTGAGATATCGATGGTCTCACCCTGAAAGCAGACCACAAATTGCGTTTATAATCTAGTGGTTTGCAGGATATGACGTACTACCTAAGACAGTGAATAGGGTGACCAAGTTTGGTGCAACTAGTCTGCAGATGCCAGAAAGGCTGAAGAAGCCTGCATGAAACTGAGTTTCTGGCCAATGGTTCCAGCCTAATCTCAGACCCTGGGAACACGGAAGCACCGCTTTGTCTCCTCCTGCAGGTAGAGATTCACTACATTCACCTTTGTAAGCTCCCCTTCCACCAACCTTGGGTACCTTTTGCATCCTATAAAGGTCCTCTCCTTGAGCACCTGCTGCTTTTCCCTGTGCTTGTCCTGTCTCACTCAGGTCTATGATTCCCCTGACGACACTCCCCGCCCCCCCATCTCAGCTGTTGTTCTCAGCCTCGCTATCCACTCTCATTCCTCACCTGAGTGTTCCAGCAAGATCACTGTTCTACAGAAGCTCAACCTTCAAACTTGCAATACACATTACCTGGGTCCTGCTTCGTCTCTGTGCTCTGTGCTCAGCCCTGGTGTAGGATCAGTGTTCCTGTCACTCCATCTCCTTTTCCAGGGATATTTGCATCTTTAGTAGTAGGCTTCATTGGTGGTCCTTCAGTGGAGTGTCACAAAGAGAAGGGAAAACCCTCAGGTACTATGAGGAGACATGTTGGGGACTATTGAGAAATCACAAGGACACCTCTCACTCCTACCCCCAAAGCTACCTTAACCTATTCCTGTCAAGACAGGAAGGTTGGCCAGGTGGGGTGGCTCATGCCTGTAATCCCAGAACTTTGGGAGGCCGAGGCAGGTGGATCACCTGAGGTCAGAAGTTTGAGACCAGCCTGGCCAACATGGTGAAACCCGATCTCTACTAAAATTACAAAAAATTAACCAGGCATGGTGGCAGGTGCCTGTAATACCAGCTACTCAGGAAGCTGAGGCAGGAGAATCACTTGAACCCAGGAGCTGGAGGTTGCAGTGAACCAAGATCATGCCACTGCACTGCAGCCTGGGAGACAGAGCAAGATTCCATCAAAAAAAAAAAAAAAAAAAAAGACAGGAGGGTCATGCCCCAGAAAACTCAACTCGGGGTCTTTGATTTGGTGTGAATTTCCCTACTTTCTTTGCTTGAAAGAAACCTGTCCTACTTTTTCTAGACTTATTTGAAGACTAATAGTGATTTCCAAGCTTCAACTGAGAATTTGTAAAGCATAGCCTATAATATCTGGCATTGTTTCCTCCAGGGCTGCTGAAGGGTCCAGGGAAAAGCCCAGGAACTTCAGGAAGGGGTTTCTTGCTGAGTGTCAATGTGTTTTTGCAACAATGACAACATGATATTGTGCTTTTAACACTTGATAGGAAAGGATACATTTCTTTCTGCCTCCTGGCAAATCATTGAATCTAGGGCAGTATCCGTCAGGCTGAACTTTTCCAATACACACTCACCTTTCCTTTGTGTTTGTTTTTTCTTGATAATGATTCCATTCCTAAGTTTTCTTCTTACGTTTATGTCTCTCCTGGATGTTATGCAGCCATCCAATGCTGAGTATGACACTCCACTGAATCACAGTAAGAATAGTGTTGATCTGCGTCTTCATTGCATCCATCAGTAGATTGATGCCCAGACAGATTTCATATGGAGTAGAACTGGCTGTGAGGTTTTCTGAGATGACTGATGGATTCGGCCTCTCACTCATGGAAGGTTTTATAACCCCAGCTTATCTCCACAGAAGGCCTCATGTGTCAGTCAAAGGTGAAAGAAGATATTCCGTTCTCAATTTTAGTGTCCCATAAAAAAGATTGGGCAAACACAGAGGAAAAGGTACTGTGTTTACTTTTAAAGAAATGTTACAGTTTTATAGTTACTGGATTGCATTCATGGATTGAGCTGTGGATTAGGAATAATAGGACCTAACGATATAATGTGGTTTATTTAAAAATGTAAACATACACTCATATTTCATGGAGCAATAGAGGAAAATTTCTTCTGAAAGAGCAAATATGCTGAGGAAAATCAGACTCATGAATTCCTGCACATTCCTAGCTTTATGACCCCATGGTTTTATTTGGTTAATGTTCACTTTCCACAGTTGGCTACCAAAATAGCTTTCCATTCCAAGGTTGTTACTGCAAAGTAAGGAGCTCAAGTATCCCTCTCACACTTCACCGGATATTAATTGTTCAGAGCTCTTGCCCTCCCTTTCGCAATGTTCCTGATTTTCATACTTCCGATTGAGAAACCACCACACACACTGAGGATATCCTGCTTGGTCAGCAGGCTGGCTATTCTAAGTGGCAACTCTCAGGGGAGATGTCTTCAGTACTTCTCCAGAGTGTTGCTTTGGGGGGCACTCCTGTGCCGTAGTAGTTCTGATGCTTATCAGATCCAGATCATTCTACTAACAATGGTCTTGAGCCAACATTTGTCATTCAAAGGTTGCTCTCTTATGGAATTGCCATGAAACAGTGGACACTTTTAGATGTGTTTTCATGGTGATTATATGGTTTTACATGAAGTTATGCAGGAAAATATCTTTTAGGAGCCCCAGATACTCAATGAGGCACCATCACATTGAACAGAAATAATTGCAAGTAGGAAGGTGATTTGAGGAAGTGATAATCCCCCAGTGGAATCTGGTTTTGAACTGTGACGTCTTATAGCATTTCACGATTGTTTTGTTAGTGCCAGGAAATCTGATCTGGGAGAAACGTTGGCACTTTTACTAAGGCTCACATCATTAAAGTTTATTTCTGTATTTGAGGGAGAGAGCTTGTTCCAAATTGGAGAAAACCAAGAGAACAGTTAGTAGGACTTAACTTCTGACTCTGTTGATGTCTTAGTTATTTATTGCTGTGTAACAAACTACCCTAAAATTTAGTGGCTGAAAACAAAAACCATTTTATTGTTCTTGATTCCGTGGGTCAGGAATTCAGACAGGGCTCAATAGGGATGGTTCACCTCTGCTCCACATGGTGTTGCCTGGGGCTGAAAGATCCAAGATGACCTCATTCACGGGTTTAGGCATTGGTGCTGGTTGATGGTGGGGGTAGCTCACTTCTCCTCCAAGGACCTCTCTCTTTTCTCTCTCTCTCTCTCTTTATCTCCCCGCCCACCACTCCCTCACCCCACCCTTCACTCTTGCTCTCACTCTCTCTCTGTGGTCTCTCATCATTCAGCAGTCGTATTTACATTGAGGTAGCTGGCTCACCAAAGGAACTGGAAATACTCTCAAGGATCAGGAATCAGTGTCACTTCTCCCACGTTCTACTGACCTGACCAAAGTCAATCTCAGGATCAACCTAGAATCATGCAGAGAAGAAAGACTCCGCTTCTTGGCTGAAAGAGCTGCATGGTACACAGGGTTTGTTGGTGGCCATTTT